ATTTATATGTCATCTATTTGGGGAGGTAGTAAATCGTATGGATGGTACGCAAACTACCAAAGTAGACCACAAAGTTGGTGCCGCATGGGATCCAGCCACAGTAGAGTTGCATGCCTCTGCATGAAAGGTGCACGTGAGACCACGTAGCCCCTCCCCTGCCCACGAGCCTGCATATACTCCCGGGCCGGCCGTATGCATCAATCTATCGATCGATGTGTACGCTTATGGTATCCATACATCTTCCCTGTACTACTGTACCTCCCACGTACACGTACATGTACACGAATGGTGATACTTGAGAAAATGATACCGACATACCGTACGTATTTAGCTCCAATCAACTAATGAGGCAATGATGGCATAGTATCACTATCTCCTGCACTGGTGCGCATTCGCATGAGTAGTTCATTAGTGTGTTACAATATTAATATTGTTAGCAATCTAGTCATGACCTTAATTTGATTTTTTAACTATTCCAACATGTGCCTATAGTATTTTCTCGCACGGTGTTTTCTTTAGTAGTTCACAGTGTTCAATTTTTGCAATGGGCAGTGTATATATTTGTTTCTTTTAACATAGTATAGATGCAGACGATTACATATACATGAATACACTCATTTCTATAAACACACATGCACACCCTACCTCTATGAGCACCTCCGAGAGACTGTGCCGATAAATCATCTTGAGATTGACGAAGTCACCAAAGACGTCTCATAGTCAATGGGAATGTCTCCTTCCACTTAATGCACATCGCCAAAAATCCTGAAATAAATAAAAATTTAAACGCGAGCATCAGGACTTGAACCCTGATGGGCTGGTATACCACTGTCCACCTAACAGGTTGGTTTGCAGTGTATATACTTGTTGACAGTGAGTATATGCCTTTATTTGAGTTTGGAAATGATCCAGGCTGATTTTTGCCCACCGTAGTCCGTAGATCCGTTAGAAAATTGCTTGGCCCAAGAAAAGATTTTTCAAAATGGGTCTGCCTAAAGTGTAATTTAGTTTGGTGAAAGATGCAACTTGCAATTTTTATCAGCCCACCAGAATCTTTTTAAACGAGTATATGATGTATTTCATTAAACTGATTTTGGTAAAATAAATAAATAAATCAGCTGTGACTAAAAAAGGTAGGGGCATTGTAAGTCGCCTAAAAAGGAATCGTGTGAGATTTTTTTGGCCGTTGGATCTTTCACGCGAAGGCTGTTGTGTTTCTACTTCCTCCAGTCTCCTTCCTCCTCTTGAACCACCCATGACCACCGACCAATTTGCCTGCCTCCGGGGTCTGCGGTCGACAACACTCTTGTGCACGCCCTCCAATCACCAGTGCCCACCGTCATGATGCGCCACCCTAGACCATCCCTCTAAACCTTCCCGGCCAGCAAATTTCCCCGGCGAGCCAGTTCCGCGCCAGTCAGCCCTTTTCCTTGCCTCTGTTCATGATGTCGCAACTCGCTACGGCTAGCAATGTCGTCCCTGTCTCCGACAAGTTTCCATCTCGGCCTCACCAAGGTTGACACTCAGTGGCGGAGCTAGACGGAATCAACTGGTGGTGGGGTGGGCGTGAAAGACAAAATATGAGCCTTTTTGCGGGTAATAGATAAAAAAGATTTCATGTCACCCCCACCTTCGCCCATGGAGTTGTATTCTCTTTAGAATCGACTTACGTGGATTCAATATTCAAGCGATTTACAAATAGGTTGTGTGTAAAAAAACACTATTTTATTTTAATTTCATCTGTTTTAGAATCAGCAAAACCGTTATCAAAAAGTACTTATAGTATTGAAGATGGAGACGTGGTCCTAGCAGCCGGTAAAAAGCAAATGTCTGGTTATTAAGTGGCCCAGTTCTTATCCACATCGGTCCTATATTCAGGGATGACGGATCAACCTGTCGCCGAACCCCTGAACCGGACCCGGAGGCAAAATTTGCTTGCAGTCCCGGTCTGGCTTGGCTCCACAAGCGAGAGTACAGATGCATAATGAATATCATCATCATGCTGTTTTTTCCTCTCTGTGTTTTCACGATGAGAACGCATCCTGCGACTAGCTCTAGGCAAACATATACGTAGTGCATTACCAGTCTATATCTATATCTATACCTCTATACCTACTAATAAAAAAATAGGTATTTTTAGTCCATTTTGCTATTTTATAGAAAACCCCCTAATGTTTCTGACACTAAATCCGCAGTACATATCAAATGTTTTTTAAAATACTCATATCTTCTAAATCATAACTTCAAATTTAACATGTTATATATGAAATTTCATTAGAAAAATATGTAGAATCTGAATATGATATTATTTTACATATTAAAAATTAAAAAAAAACTATCTAGGCTGCAATGTTAATCAGCAATGCATTATCCGTCTTTTTTTCATACCGGTACTGATTCAGATTGGGGATGAACACCTCAGCAAAATCAGGATTGGACATGAAATTGAAGATAAATTTGCTAGAGACACTCAATAAATAAGGACATGCATGACAAGGAATAGAAGAAAGACCCAATAAAGATGTGATATCTGCTATAAAAGAAATAAACGAGAAAATGCAGATGAGATCTGATAAAGTTGAGATGTTGTGCTATTCTCCTATATATAAGAAGAAAAAAGAGAGGACATGCATGAAAAAAAAGTAAAAAGGAGGCATGCATGACAAAAATAAAATAAAAGACAAATTTGATAAAATATAAATAGTGATGAAACAGGGACCAATACCTATAACATGTATGACAAGAAATAATGATGAAATAGGTGCGCAAGTACCTGCGTCCACAGGAGACCATACAAAAATGTTCTTTTTCAGACAAAAAAAATCTCTTTTATGATGAAAAAATCATGTATCTTTTTAACAACCTTTAACAACTCTTCATGTATTTAAGAAATATGCATGTGAAAAAAGTGTTCAACAGTTACCCTAAGTTGGTGATTCTTAAACTGAAAATTGTCATTGATGCACACATGTCTCCATAGTGTGCTAATGTCATCGGTTTTTTTTTTGTCATTTTTCTTCACTCGCCCGTAACAACGCCTTATTTCCAACATGACATAAATAAAATGCATGATCACTTGCATGTTTCTTTGTGCGATTAAATCTACATGCAAGCCGTGTTGAATTAGAACACATGTAGAATCTTAAATTGCGCTTTTATAGATTAAGACTACCTTTTTTGGGGTTGTAGCTATAAATTCTCAGATTATAGACCATTTTTTGTAAATTAAGAGCGTGTGGTATTTTTTTTTCTCCCGTTGCAACACATGGGCCTTTTTGTTAGTACTAATTAATTATTTTCTCGTCAACATGCATGGATGATGGTGGGCGACACGTTATGTTTTTGGCACTGATCTGCTGAATATACGATATTTTTTCTGTGTGTTCACGCTGATTGGATGGTTACGCACGTGCAGGATGGACGGTCTGTCAAATGTGCACCATACATGCACACAATATCGACGTAATTGCACTGTAGAGAGAGAGAGAGAGAGAGAGAGAGAGAGAGAGAGAGAGAGAAGAGAAGATGCTTTAAATGGCAGCTTGGTTAGTGGTGTGGTACAACAAGAGGTGCAAAGGGTTGGCACGTACCAAGTGGCAAATCTAGTCCACACGTCCATTGTCCGCTCACCTGTCCAAAGCGTGACCACAGACATGCACCCCAGCTGCACGATCGAACTGTTCCCATCTCAGCTCACAAGTGGAGCAGCATCTATCTATCTTGATGGAATTCCTATCCGTCCAGAATAAGTAGCACAGTACATTTCCATATGATGAAACTCAAGGAGGCTACATCTACAACTTTTGATCAACTTGATTTAGATCCATCAAATGAATATCTGTCGGGAAAAAGATCATATACTTGCTTCGTAAGAGTTTACAACTGATTTGTTACCGAAAGTCATACGTGCAGACCGGGCACGAATTTTGCGCATCACTTCTACATGGCATATTCTTTATGGGGAACTGCTTTCTATCGTGATCATTGCTCTCAACTTTATCTTGGTTTTATGGACATATGGGTGTGGTCGCTATCACTTATATATGTGTGCGTTATATTGTTTACAATGGTACTATATTTTTTTCAAACATGACCAACATCTAGCTCAACTTTATCCTGGTTTTACCGATGGATGAGTCATGAGTGTGATAGTTATGATGGGGGTGGGGAACATATATGATATAGTTCTACGCAACGGTCATAGCAAAGACACACTTGAAAAGAGGTTAAAGTCACTCAGCCAAAAAGGGCAAAAGGAAGGGAAATAAGATTCTAAACTCACCAATTGTCTAACTCGCTTACCAATAACCATTGTGTGATAGGCTGATAGTCAACGGGCCTTGAGGAGATATTTTAGCCTGCAGGTCAATCAACCCAGGAGCACCCAAAAACCTTTCGTTTTTGCCTTGTAAAAACAATAGTACTATCAAGTTCCCCCAACTATAAGTATTTCCGTACAGAGGGAGTACTAACAAACACCAGCAATACTACTCCACTTAGTAAAAAAAAACAGAAGGATGATAGCGTCGACATCATGAGAAAGATAACGCAACACAAAGTAAAGCACCGGTCTTAACGACACGCGAATTGATGATCATGGACACAACCGCCCGAGCGATAACCAACTGATCGACCGGATTAGGTCTGGCTCTTGCATTTGCGGAGCTAGCCACGACATGACCACAACTCCAACCACAGATCCCTTGTCTCCCTCATGTGGCACCCCATGAGACCACCTATCTCGCAAAGGGAAGTGTTTCTCTTTTTAGCTAGGCTAGTGTTTCCCGGTGGCAATTAAGGCAGCTAAGCCTGGCCCCAATCCCCCAAAATGAACAAGAGACACCAATCCTAAACCAACAAAAGACCAAAGCCAAACCCAGGGACAGATCTCTCATCACCAGTTCATCATCACCACATGCACAAAGTGCACGAGACGAGCTGGCGTACTACTAGTAGCTCGGCTCGCGGCCCGATCGATCCATGTCCATGAGGAGCGTTCCATGACCAACCCCTGCTCCCCGTCTTCTCCTTTCTCCTCTTCTCCCACCTCCGCACACCATCGCCGGTACGAAGAACCTGCGGCGGCGGCGGCAAACGTGGGGAACGGCGGCCAGGTTGACTACGGCATTTCGTTCTCGGCGGCCGTAGACGACGTTGAGGGCGCCGAGCTGTCGCCCCCGCGCTGCGAATGGGAGTTCCGGCTCGCGGCCACCGTGCCGTCCCCGTCGCTGGCCGGCGCGTCCGAGGCCATCGGCAGCGTCGACTTCGACCCCGCCGGCCGCCTCCTCGCCACGGGCGGCATCGCGCGCAAGGTCCGGATATACGGCGTCGCCGGCCTGCCGTCCTCGCCTAGCCCCGCCGCCTGCATCTGCGTGCCGGCAAAGCTCAGCAGCGTGCGGTGGCGCCCCGAGGAGGGGGGCGGCCGCGCGGTGGGGTGCGGCGACTACGACGGCGTCGTGACGGAGTACGACGTGGAGCGCGGCGTCGCGGCGTGGGAGCGCGACGAGCACGCCGGGAGGCGGGTGTGGGCGCTGGACTACGCGCCCCGCGGCGCGCCCACGTCCATGGCGGCGTCCGGCTCCGACGACCGGACGGCGCACGTTTGGGACCCGCGCGCGCCCTCGGGGTCCTGGGCCACGGCGCGGGCCGGCGGCGCCGTGCTGTGCGTGGAGTTCGACCCGTCCGGCGGGCCGCAGCTGGCGGTGGGCTCGGCGGACCGGCGCGCGGCCGTGTACGACGTGCGCGCGCTGGGCCACGGCGAGGTCGCGTCCATGGACGGGCACGCACGCGCCGTGACGTACGTGCGGTGGGCGCCGGCGCGGCGGGTGGTGACGTCGGCCGCCGACGGGACGCACCGGCTGTGGGAGTGGCCGTCGACGCCGGAGCTGTCGGGCCCGGCGCGGGAGGTGCGGTCGTACAGCGGCCACGTCAGCGGGCGGAGCTTCGTGGGGATGGGGCTGTGGCGCGGCGCCGGGCTGGTGGCCAGCGGGTCTGAGTCCAACCACGTCTTCGTCTACGACCTCAGGTGGGGCAAGCCTGTCTGGGTGCACCCCTTCGACGTCGCCTCCGACAGCTCCCCCGACGCCGAAGGGTTCGTTAGCGCCGTGACGTGGCTGCAGGGCGACGCCGACTGCGGTGGGGCGCTCGTCGCCGGCAGGTCGGACGGCGTGCTGAAGATGTTCACGTGCCAACCACGCCGGGGAGATGACCACCAAGTGGACGAGCTATAGCGAGCCACACTCTCCGCTGCCCATTCTGAGCCAGTGTGCGTATGACTGGTGTGAGAGAGATTCATTCTTGCGTTTCAATTATGATTATACTACATGTTTTTCTTTTGTTGCAGACAAGAAACAAATTTGCTAGAGGACAGGGGATATGATTCTTTCCCTTTTTTTTAATTATGTGACTCGTTCCTGACAATTTTTATGTATGTACTGATCTATTTATCAAGAAATACAAATAACTAAATTTTCATCAATTGCAAAGTGAAGTGTGTTTTTAGATGACCTCACGTTGAAGTGAATCTCATATTAACCACAGAGAGTAATTTTGATATGGGTATGGCTAGATCTCAGTCGACTGAGACTTAACCAAACCACAGGCTAGTGACATAACATATAAAAAGAAGAAGAAAACAAAATTTGCACAGATCTCCACATAAGGTCTTAGCAATATAACATCGCGCACGAAAGTAGATTTTGTGCAACCAGTTGCCCGATCCATATTCCATATTTTAATTTTATTGTCTTTTCCAAAAAATAAGAAATAATTCCCTTGCAAAAAAAAACATACATACTATGGGTCTATATCCTGTGCACTTGGGAAAAGCTCATCCAACAAAAATGACCATTTGTGACCTAGAAAAACAAATACAAGACTCAAATGGATAGCGCTCAGGTTATACAACATACACATAATATAAAATTGTGTTTCTTATGTCACAATAAGGCATGTCATGTTATGAGTTTTTCGAGATGCATATTGTATTTCATAACTTACATCTATGAACTATACCATATTTTTCGAAAACTTGGAAAATGAAGGGAAAAAACAAAGAGATTGGATGGGCGGAAAATTGTACATACTTTCTTTTTCGAAAAGAAAGGTCCAAACCTTCCGGCACATGCATCCTAGGATTTGAGCATAATTTTCTTTAAATAAATGTGATGCAACTATACAAAAGAGTCTAATTTAAAAATGAGTATATACAGTGGGCAACTATGGAAAAACCACAGCAAAGTTTAGGAACAAAAATGGTACACGTAAAGTCGGTATTCCCCCTTAAAGCCTTCACGTACGAAGGAGTATTCCTTCACGCCGATATCTCAAGTGACCGAAAAACGAGTATATGGCGATATATCGTGTGGACTTGGGGAAAGCTCATCCAACAAACATTACCATCTATGACCTAAAAACAGATACATGATTCAAATGAATAGTACTCAAGTTAAATAACATACATATTATATAAAATGGTTTTTTCTTAGGTCACAATAAGGCATGTCATAACCTACATCTATGAACTATTCCACATTTTTTGGAAACTCGTAAAATGAAATAAAAAAAAGTAGACGCAGTACATGGCGAAAAGTTGTACACACTTTTTTTTTCTAAAAGGAAGGTTGAAACCTCCCGGCATATGGATCCTAGGATGCGGCCATAATTTTCTTTAGATAAATGTGGAGCAACGATATAGAAAAAAAATCTACTTAAAAACAGAGTACATACAGTGGACAACTATGGGAAAACCACAACAAAGATTAAGAACAAAATACACCTAAAGTCGATATTCCTCCCGTGAAGTATGCCCTCATGCCGATATCGCCAGGTCCAGCTCATGAAGGTTAGGACATAAATTTCCACCCTCAATGAGATCCAACCAATTAAGAGCATAACATCGCTAAAAGCTATATAGATATAATTATATATGTAATACGTGCATATATTTATGCATCTACATATATGTATGTAGGGTTCACCATTCAAGTGCGTGATCATCTAATAAGCATGTGTTTATGTTCTGTATTTTAGCGAATATTGAAGTATATGCATGATTCGATCACCTCCCTTACCATGACCACCGCACTCATCCATTGGTAAAAGCAGGATAAAACTGAGCTACATGATCACGATTGGAAACAATATCAGGAAGAAATGGTCTATTTGTCCTTAGCACCAATGACCCGAGGTTCAAAAATCAGTTCATTGGCAATGGAAGATACTACACGGATCTAGCGTCGCCCTCGAGAAAGAGAGACAAAGTTAATACTCGCTATGTACTCAGCTGATCGATCAAAGTGAAATTCATGAATGCGGTGTCGTCTCACCGAGTGAATAGGTATTGCAATCAGTCCATAATTCTAGATGGGTACATATGGATAGATATGATGAAGCTACTGTAGATGGGAATAGTTGTGTTGTGTGGCCGCACTTTGGCCAGGTTGGCCGACAGTGGAGTGTATGGACTAGATTTGCCACTTGGTACGTGCCAACCCTTTGCACCTCTTGTTGTATCACTTGACCATTTAAAGCAAAAGCAGCCTCTCTCTCTCATCTCTCTCTCATCTCTCTCTCTCTCTCTTCCTGTGGGTGCAAGTGACGCGAGCACGTTTGACAGGCCGCCCATGGTGCAGGTGCACGTGCACGTGCGTGGCCATCCAAGCAGCGTGCGTGCATGCTGTGCATGGGTACGTATTTTATAGCAGTTCACTTCAGGGTCGAACTCTCTCTCACACACACACATAAAAGATTGCTCGAAAAAACAAAACACGAAAAAGGTCATATGTCCGGCAGGCGGCAGCGTGTCAACCGAGACAGATCGAGGAGATCCCGATCTAGATTAAACTATACTTAGTATAGTAATTAGTTCCCTAAATAAGTACCCGATCCTCCTGCCTGAAGCTTATAATTAACAGTGTGCCGACGACGACATACATCATGCGTTCCGAGAAAAGAATCCAAGAAACCAATTGACATATATGCAGTGCAGGCATGAGCGTGAACATGGTGCACTCTCATCGTAAAACAAAAGAGGAAAAACGACGTGCGGTGGAGCCGGTCCAGATCGAGACCGCGGCCTGATTTCGCCTCGGCGGACGCGTACGGATTGGACGGTCGATCCGCGCGCGCATATGTAGGAAGTGGATAAGAATTGGCCCACTTAAGACAGTGAGTACTACTGGTAAGAGCTATGCAAAACCAGCTGCTCCTGCAGTCCTGCTTGGGAACAGTAATGAGCTAGGAGTAGTACTGATCGGTTTCGCTCGGGTCGTACTCCAGCGCTCACATGCAAATTTGTTCAGGCATCCGTCCACATACAAGCAACTAGTACATGAACATTGATGTGGGAGGCCTTCATCAAGCGCTGTCCCACATACGTTTCAATCATTGTTTGAACTAAGAGCGTCTATAGCCGGACTTGGCAAATCCGGCACCTCAAATGCCCGCGGACGCACCCTGGCGCGTCCACGGGCACTGACAAGGCACCTCTCAAATCGTGTGGTCCAAATCTGTGTATCTCACATTCGAACCCCTATATCCATACTAAATCATGCAATATCGATCACACTACGTAGATCAACTGAGCGGACATAGAATCAAACATAGGACAACACGATGGTTCACCAAAAGATCACCATAGTTCACACAAACGACGGACAACTTTATACTACATTTAAAACTTGAAATGAAATAGAACTTCACCACTTCCAGGCCAGCCCTTTCCCCTTCTGGTCGGCGGTTGGTGGAGGATCGTCCGATTCATCGGAAGAGGAGACGTCATCGTCGGACGAGGAGGAGGAGACGATGACGAGGCCCTTGAGGCGCTGGACGACCCGGTCCTGCTGGCGCCTGAGCTTGGCCAGCCGAGCCGCCTCCGCCTTCTCCTTCGCCTCCCGCTAGGACTACTTGATGGCAAGCCGGAGGGCCACATCGCGTTCTTCCGGCGGAGCCGCCGAGCGTCCGTCTCCGTCGTCGTAAGCGACCGACGGTAGACCGATGCGAGGATCCGTTTGTCCTCGTCGGGCTCCGCCAGTAACCCATGGCGGCGGCTGCGGACAGAGCTCTCCGCAGCATCCCTCTCCCTTGCCCGTTGCCTCTCGCGGCGGGCGGCGCACATGTCCGGGCCGGCGGGGCGGGCCCAAGCACCCATCGTTGCCCACGAGGGGAGCGGCATCCGGCGGGGCCAGGGGACGGCGTAGGGGAGGCACGGATTGCATGGGCCGCCTGTCGGAGCTGCCCTCGGGCCTGAAGGGGCCAGCGCCGGCATCCGAGCTGCGCCGACGGGGAAACTGCGGCTGCGGCGAGGCTGCAGATCCGGAGCTGCCCCCGGTCTCCACCTTGGATCGCTCCAAGGTGATGCAGAGGGCTAGCTCATACTCCGGATCCAGCTCGTCGTCGGAGCGGCTGCCAGAGCTCAACATTGCACCTGATTCGATAGGAATCGGTGCAGGGAGAGGAGAGGATGGAGAGAGAGAGAGAGATAGAGGAAAGTGAGTGAGCTAGGGTTTCAGAGCGATGAGCTCGACAGTGTTTTCTGTGGGACATCTGTGGGATCGGTGCTGGGCCAGGCTTATCAGGCGGGCATGCCCAGGCGTGCCCGGGCCGTGATAATTCCCAAGTGCAGGGAATCATCGTAGCAATTTCCAAAGGTGGAAGTGATAAGCATGGAGTGTCGAACCCACAAGGAGCTAAAGGCAAGATCAATATTCTCTCAAGTCCTATCTGCCACTGATACGACTCTACGTACACCGAACGTTTGCTTCCAACTAGAAACAAGAAATAAAACTACGTTGTGGGTATGAAGAGGATAACTTTGTATGATATCGAAGAACTAAAATATAAAAGTAGGTGCTGTTATCATAAACTTAGAATATATTACTAAATATTATAAATAGCGAGTGTGGAATAATGATGGGTTGGTGTGCAGAATTATCCTAGGCAATTGTTAACAGGACCGGTAATCACTATTGCAATTTCATATGAGGGAGAGGCATAAACTAACATACTTTCTCTTCTTGAATCATATGCACTTATGATTGGAACTCTAGCAAGCATCCACAACTACTAAAGATCATTAAGGTAAAACCCAACCATAGCATTAACATATCAAGTCCCCTTTATTCCCATAAACCGTGACCCACTTATCCATGTTTATGCTTCTGTCACTCAAGCAACGCAGACAATAAGTAAACCATGGAGGGCACAATAAGACAACACCAAAAAAAATCAT